AACGACTGTGATTTTCCGTGGTAATGCTTCGATAACCCCCTCCTGAACCAAAACCCACCATTAAAGTCTAGAGAAAACAAAAAAACAAAACACCATGCACATCACCTGTTTGATAAAATGCCAAACAGAGATGTTGGGGTTTTTCGATCTTACACAAATTGATATCTTAGCATGCTTTTAAGTAGAATTACATATAAACTAACTCAAATTTTAAAAAATAAATATTATAATTAATCTGCTAAAGATAAAGATAACCTATCATTAACTTTAAAAAAAATTAAAGATGAATTAAATTTAATTAAAACTTAAATTACCATAATTAAAATATAAATAGAGATTAAATTTTAATTAAAAAATAAATTATAAATTTTACATTAATTCTAAACATTTTTCTTATAAACACTAAATTTATTTTATTGTAACATCTCTCTCTAATATATTTTATTTAATCTTTATATAGATATCTAATTATTAATGCATTTCCTATTAATATGTATTTATCATCAAAACATTCTTTATATATTTTTCTAAACTAAGATTGTCAGAAGTTCTTTAGGCAAATAAAATAAATTATAATACTTAGAGAGAGAGAGAGAGAGAGGTAGGAGTTACTTGAAGGGGAGTTGTCGAAGAAGAGAAGACATTTGAAGAAGAGGATCCTTAGTTGAAGAATGAGAAGTGACTTCTTCACGAGGGGAATCATCTTCCTCCATGGTTGAAGCTTCAGAAGAAGAAGAAGATTCAGAAGAAGAGGAAATCACCGAACCAGCATCATCAACTTCATGGTAATCAGCCCTTTCTTGCTCGAACAAAACAGACTCCATAGCTTCTTTCCTTGTAAGTTTCCTGCAATACCCACTTGTTATAACACACGGATTTGAGTTTCAGAAATCCTGATGAAAGAAAGTTGAGACGAGATGAGATGAGATGGAGGGAGGGAGGAGATGAAGTTAATAAAGGTGTAGGGTTTTCATATATTACGGAAAGAAGGGAGAAAATATATTTAAAAAGATTCGACTTTATCCAATTTCGGTCTCCTTGTCCCCTCCCTTACCCAATCCACCACGTCCACCATCCTCCTAGCTTGCTAAAAGTGGACAGGTCTTCTGTATTTCAATGCCCACTCGACTCGTCGGGCGCGTCCTCTCACTCTCCTTATTAGGATAATACTAATCATAAATATTATTTGTTAAATTATTAAATCTCTTTTTTTTTTTTGTTTTTGTTTGATAAATAATTATAATATCTAAATTCACATCTGATTTATGTAATAAATACGTTAATATTTTTTTTAAAAAAATTAATTAAGTTTTTACTTTGTTATAATTATTTAATATTTTATCTGAATATATTATTATTTATTGAATTAAAATTTAATTTAGTTAAATATTATAAGTAATGATGATCATGATAGACCCTAATTAATTTATTTATAATTAATTTAACAGTTAGAAAAATAAATGGGTAATAACTGTGACGGAGAAATTGTTTTATTTAATTTTTGAAAAGTGTTTTTTTGTATTTACCAAAATATCAAGAAAAAGATTTATATAGTTTGTCATTTTTTTTCCAATAGAAAAAGAAAAAAGAAAAAAGAAAAAAGAAAAAGCGTTTAGATAAGGCTTTCCTGCCCACGGGATACTACAAGGTAAAAGATGACGTCAGCGCCTCCGGTATTTATTTTTTTTATCATTCTTTTTCTTTTTTGTGTCAATGAATTTTGCTCAGAAATTTAGTCAGAGAATGTCTCTTTCTTCAGTTAGGGAAGTATTAATTTTTTAATAAATAAAAATATCTGTACCTAAAGTAGTAAAAATAAAAATAAAAATAAAAATAAAAATAATGTTTTAATCTCTGTTGAATTTAAATTAAACATAATTTTTAAATAATAATAACAAAATTATATATATATATAACTTATGTAATCAAATAATTAAATTAAATTAATAAAACAAAATAAATTTAAACCAAATAGAAGCAACCACCACCGGATCAGCAATGGAATCTCAACATTTGGGGCTGTTAATTCAAACCAAACAGAAAATTCACGCAATCTTGGTTAATAAGCTACAAGAATTCCTTTTACACTCATCAACATATTAAAACCCTAACTTGAAAAACAACACCAACACAAATTTTCAACTGCTACATAATTAAGATACGGTGATCTTGCCATCAAAAAAGATCTTGGTCTGGTGCATCAAATAATTTATACTGTGTGTAATAATCTGATGCTAAATGGTGACAGTAATTCGCTGCGATCATTGATGATCTTGGACTGCAAACGGTAATTCACCATTTAACCGCGAATTTTTTCCACACAGAACTGGTGGGTCGTGGGTGCATAACTGAATCAGACATAACTGTCAATAAGCGATTTCCTCATCTCATCAACGATAGCAGTTGGTTGTGCTTCTCTTAACTTGAAGATGGTTTCTATGACGGAAAGTTCTGTTGCTGTGGTGTCAGACCCACAGAAAGCAGTCCAGTCGTTTACTGTCATTCCAGCAGCTATTACTTCGCTACCGCGGTTAACAGTTCCGGCCACTAAAGGGACCTGGAGAAGAGTCGAAAGTTCATCCAAATCTTCCACCGAGGTATGGGGATGAACCTGGCCCAAGTACACAGATAAATAAGCAAGGGTCCAGTACATGATTCCCATAAGCAGATGAAAAACACGGGAAAATTAAATAGAGGACTCCAATGTTTTGAGTTTACTTATATTTTTCAAGGATTTTGATTTATTTTTTCATAGAATACCTTTTCTTCTTACTTATCTTTTATTTTTCATGACAACTTTTTAGTTTGTACTTCTTAAAGCAGAATACTTGTTAGATTGCTTTTTACATGAACTGGACCAAAATTGGCAGCTACCTATCCAGTTGTGTTTATATCCAAAATCATGATTCCACATGTAATCCACCCAAAGGAACTAGGACGGGAGTTATGACTTACCAAGCCACCTCTGTTGGAAAAGGTACAGTAACTGCCCACGAGAATATTGCCAGCGATAGTCTGCCGGAAAACTTCCACGCCAAGCACATCTGCAATTATCTCCTCAGTTTCCTGACCAAAATTGCCGGAGAATAGAAGATGTTAGCTTCCAAAATAAAATTTGCAGTAACAAATTCCTCCCACCAAATTACTCAGCCTGTAATCGCCAAGAAAAGAAATCCCAAGGAGACGACTGAGCAACATCGTGCTTCTAGAAGTAAAATAGTGGCAACTGTATCTAAAAAAACTCTCTCAAATGTCATAAACTCCCCAAGATTCTCAAAGAGTTCTTGAACAAATCATCAAAACATGTATAACGAAAAATTTCATTTTTAGAGCTCAAGTAATGGTATGAAATTAGGATACAAGACAATCTAATGAAGAATAAAGCCTAAGCATGCTTAAGTTTAATGGAAAAATTGAAGCTGTTATGATGAGATAGTTTCAAACTGAGATTTAAAGATTAAAAGACAGTATTACCACCAAACTAAAAAGAAACCTCATCAAAGATATTTGATGACAAAAAATATATACCCTAAGGAAGTGCAGAAACTCACCCGGTCCAGATCCGTGTGTGTTAGAGCAACGTGGTCATTGCATGCAATGCAATTCCCTAGAGCAGATAGCTTCTCCTCTATGCGCTGAACAACAACTTGATCAGGTAGACTGTTCCTCAAATGTTGAAGCTCTTCAAGAGAAAAACTCCGTCAACATCATCATGGGGGTGAGAACTCAAATATATTCAAGCTAAAAAAAAAGTTTAAATTT